TGGGTTTGAACCGCCAGCCTTCTGGTTAGCAGTCAAGTGCCTTAGGCACTATGCTACCAGAGCAACAACAAGGCTATCTCTTACGTTTAAGAAAATAAAAATGAGGTGACCCACCCACACCTTTTCATTTATGTCCTTCTTCACAGCTCTGCCTTATTCAACACCATCAGCTGCTCAGAGTTACCCAACTTCAGGTAATTTTCACCTGTGCTTCACTGATTAACTGTGATTTGCCTTAGAATTCCCCTGGGCAGTGGCTTAGGGGCTAAAAGTCCTGGATTTGTCATCATTTACTCACTGTGGGACCTTGAGCAACTTCAGAACCACTCTTGCCTCAATTTCTTCCTCTGCATGAGGATGAGGAAAGTGATAGCAGCATTTACCTCCTGAAGCTGTGTTGGGGTTCAATGGATTTTTTTATGTAGAGTGACTAGGGCAGTGCTCACAGTGTGGGGCATGCTAGTTAGATGCTAGCCATTATCTTTTTCCAAGCCCAGGGCACTTCAGGCACTTATCTCTGTCGGCCCCAGCTGACATGTTCTACTTTATAGATTTGTATGAAATGTAGTCATTGAAAGCATCACCCTTTAGTCTTTCTGTGATTGGTCCCATAGATGTCACATTTCAAGTCAGGCCAATGGCTTTCCCACAGTAAGGTCTTTATCAGTGGAACATGATATGCAGAGAAGAGGTGGAAAAAAGGAGAAATGACCCCGGACCATCAAAGGAGGCCCAGGGTTGCTGACATTTACCAGCAAGTGGTCCCTGAAGGACGTTGTCTGTGATACCATGATCCGCTTCTCCTGTATCTATTGGTTTCAATTCCTCGTGCACACACCAGCTGGGTGGTGGGAGGTGCACCCTCCACAACGACGAAAGGACACGGGAAAGGAATCTGACTTAGGATCAGAAACTGTGTATAAACAATCCACCAGATGGATGACTCATGGACAGTCTGACACTTAACCAAGCTACTGCCTAATCTTCTGCCTTTGCTTTCTGTCCACAGCATCTTTTCCAAAGCAAACAGAGGCCCCCACATCAGCAGGTGATCTTTTTCCTATCTCTACATGCCTTTCCTTTGTAGAGTTTCGCCTCAGAAACACTCCAGCATTACTGTGGGAGAAGGTGTCCCCACTAGAGATACTGTCCATTTCCAAACGCCTCCACAAGCCTCAGGTTGGAGGTCCAGTTGGCTGATACTGGAGGAGGGGCTGATGCTGGAGTGAGGGCTGATAATGTCTGGGTTCCCCTAGAAAATCTGTGATTGGAAAAGTGAGTGGCAAGGAGAAGCTGTGAGGTGCAAGGACTGCTTCTAGGGGCTAGTCATGGAGACCAACACCTCAGAAGGCTGGTGCATACTAATGACCCCAAATCTGCCCCAAGTCCTACCCAGGGCCTCACCTTGGCTGTATTCCATGTATATCCAGCTTCCACTCCTTTTCACAAGACGGCCCTTTGAATATTGGAGGTCAGCCCTTACTGACGGCCCTTACACACTGTGGAGATCTCCACACATGGCGTGGCTCCTGGTTCTGGGAACAAGATAAATTGGAGGCTATTGTTATTGCCACTTCATCAAAGTATACAAGGACCCACAGAGAACTTATACACACACACATAGAGCAACTAGTGTGTGCATGATACCTTTTCATGAAAATCTAACAAACCCAGGGAGTCTCAGAAACCAAGGCTTCACAATTCCTGGTGATGGAGAAAGTGACAACCATGTGGTGATGCAGATCTCTGGTCCAGCTGACCAAGGAGCAAAACCATTTTTTAACCAACCTTGACTTGAAAAAACACACTGAGTGGTGCCAGGGCAAAGATAAGGGAGGAGTCAGTTTGTTATCTCAATTGTCAATGTACAACTTCCAGGAAAGAGCTGGCTCCTCTGGTGGCCTTTCTGGAGGAGCCTTGACAAAGGTACTTCTGTGGAATGCCCATCTAGGTCTGGGCCTGCGGCTGGTGAATGGATCCAGCAGGTGTGAGGGCCGAGTGGAGGTCTACCATGCCGATACCTGGGGCACTGTGTGTGATGACAGCTGGTCCATTGAGGATGCTCACGTGGTCTGCAGGCAGCTGGGCTGTGGCCTTGCTATGTCCGCGCTCCTGGGGGCCAGCTTCAGCCCCGGGGCAGGGGGTATCCTCCTTGATGATGTCAACTGCACGGGAAAGGAGTCCTCCCTGGAGCAGTGCCCACACAGTGGCTGGTTCACTCACAACTGTGGACACCATGAAGACGCTGGTGTCATCTGCTCAGGTAAGTGCAGGACCTCTTGGACCAGCCATGGCACTGCCAGGCCAACCTCAAGCTCCTAGATACCATCTGAAATGCTACCATGGCTTAAACCTTCTCCATGCCCTGGAAAATATACCAATTGTTTGATACACTAAGCTCATTCAGCTTAGCGTCTAAAGAGGTTAATTGGTTATAAAATGAGGACAATGACGGATGATGCAAGCAGTTAACATGCTTGGCTACCAACCAAAAGGTTGGTAGTTTGAGTTCACCCAGAGGTGCCTCAGAAGAAGGGGCTGCTATTCTACTTCCAAAAAGTCAGTCATTGAAAACCTTGTGAAGACCAGTTCTACTCTGACATGCATGGTGTTGCCATACGTCAAAGTCAATTAAACGGCCACTGGTACTAGTTTCTCACAAAGTTATTGGGAGGATTTGACAACACATTCCACATGGAGAGCATTTAGTCAAGGGTCTGACACGCCATAAATGTACAAAAATGTTGACTATTTTGTTGTTGTTTGAGTTACTAAGGCAGAATCAGTGTTTCAGAGTTTTCAGCCAGGTGATACAAGACACAGCTGGCTATATACACCAAGAGGGCATGCCCTACATGCTTAAGAATCAACCACTGTTTACACCTGGCTGTAATGTATCACATTTAAACTTAGTTAACCAGCTTTAACCCTTCCATGACCTGTGCGACATATGTCAACCATCAACATTTTCAGCCTCTCAGATTTCTCGGGAAGCTGCTGTTAGCCATAGTACATGCTGCTGCCTGGGGAGAGACCTGTATAACTGTGTGAATCTGAAGAAATAGGCTTCACCCTACCAATTTTACCACCAGAGTCCACTTGGGACATATGTGCTCCACATAATTGTTTCAAAACTATTATTTCTTTTTATTTTTTTTATTATGGAAGAAGTGGGAGGGGAGCTGTTGCATTCTGGGAAATTGTAGTCAATGTTATGAGACAGAGTGTATATGAGCTGCTGTATAGAGGGTGAATTTGCTCTGTAAACGTCCACCCAAATCACAATAAAACAATTAAAAAAAAAAAACTCCCTTGATTTCAGCATGCCTTCCATTACTGAAAACACACGATATCAACAAAAAATTCAAAGCAGAACATAATTTGGTCTTGAAAGGGTTAAACCACTTTCCCATCATGTTTCTATTAAGCCAATCTCCTGTTTCCTTTATGTCTGCAGATTCTGCTGCTGCTGGACATGCAGGCACCTGTGAGTTCGTGTCCGTCTTATTTGCTGAGTGGTAACTAGCCGTTTAGTTCAAGAACCACCCCTCTCATTTGTGTCTCCTTTATTAGCCTTAACTTCCTTTGAGAGTGCCCTGAGCTCCAGCCCTTCCACCCTCCAAGAAGGTGATGACCCAGGGCTCTTTCCCACACCCCTGAGGGAAGGTGGGATGGGCATTAACAGTTGGTGTGTCCTCTGAGTAAGAGAGCTGCATCTTGGCCAGACTTGGAGACACTAGCTCTTGACCCAAAGTGGCGACTCACACATCAGAGGCAGCAGGGACGATGAGTGGGGCTGGGGCAGGTGGACCTTGTGGGAAGAGCCACTCCACCACCTGCAGCCTCACCTGGGGTCCAGGACAGATACAAGGTTGTCCAGTGACTAGAGACGCTGTATTGTCACTATCCCAACATGAATCGTATTTCTTTGATTTTCTTATTCTTAACCAGAATTACGCACACACAGTCATAAGCTACATTTATGTTATAAAAGGAAGGTATTTGACTAGAGGCCAGACTGGGTTGTTCAGAGGTATACTCATTTATGTGATTTTGATGATGTTGTGAAGAGAATGAAATTTCATTGTGTGTGTTTAATGTACTTAGAGTGAATGTTTTTCTTTTTTCTGTGTATACTTTTTTCAACTCCTGAGGAACAGCCTCATCTTTTCCACCCAATAGGTACTCTTCCCAGTCTTACATTTTATAACTGTTTTTCTGAGGCTGGAGTCCCACCATCTGTGGCCAGCAGGAGGGTAGCAAACATTACTATCATGGCCCTGGTCTTGTCGTACAAAACCCTCCATATGGAATAAAAGCTGTGCTCTTAAAGGCAAGTTAGTGATATGGTGGAGTCTTCTAGTTTAGGCGCCTTTTCAAGGAGAGAGCCAACTCTGCTGAAATAAGGATAGATAGATGGATGATCGGGAGCTCTGGCAGCATAGTGGCTAAGACACTTGCCCGCTAACCAGACGGCTGGCGGTTCAAACCCACCAGCCACTCCTCGGAAGGAAGGTTGGGCAATCCTACTTCCACGGTGATACTGCCTCAGAAACCCAAGGAGGGGTCGCTATGAGTCGGGTCTGACTCGACGGCACATAACAACAACAACAACAACAGATGGATGATCAGTAGATAGATGGATAGTAGGTAGGTAGGTAGATGGATGGATGGATGGATGGATGGATAGATGGGTAGGTACATAGGTAGGTAGGCAGACAGACAGTATCTTTTCTTCTGAGTATATAACTTGCCCGAGGACAATGCTACCCAAAGTAAGCTCAGACCTGGGTAGAGCTTGTTGCCGGGGAAGGCATCTCAGTCAGTGGACAGGAACCTGCTCACGGTTGTCTCTTTGCTCCTGCAGATCTGCCCGAGGTGAGACTGGCCAATGGGAGGAACAGGTGTGAGGGCCGCGTGGAGCTCCACCACAATGGCACCTGGGGCACCGTGTGTGATGACCTCTGGGGCCTGCCTGCAGCCCTGGTGGTGTGCCGGCAGCTGGGCTGTGGGGAGGCCCTGGCGGCCCCAAGGCGCAGTCTGTTTGGCGCCGGCTCAGGCCCCATCCTCCTAGACAACGTGCAGTGCACTGGCAACGAGAGCAGCCTTGGGCAGTGCCACCACCCCGGCCTATCCATCCACAACTGTGGGCACCACGAGGATGCTGGGGCCGTCTGCTCAGGTACCTGCAATCTCCCTGTACCAGGTTTCCATCCCAAACAGGAGAGCCACCCAGGCACACCTCAAAGCTGGTACACATTTGGCTCCAGACCACCACCACTACAAAGCGATTATCACAAGAAAGTGAGCCACACCCAGTCTTTGGTTTCCCCATGCATATAAAAGTTATGTTTATACTACACGGTAGTCTATTAAGTGTGCAACAGCATTATAAAAAGGTTTGAAATATTGGGAGAACGACCAAAATGTGACATAGAGACATGAAATGAGCACATGCTATTATTGGAAAAATGGTGCCTGATAGACTTACTCAACACAAGGTTGCCACACACCTTCAATTTGCAAAAAAAAAAAAAGAACAGTATCTGCAAAGTGCAATAAAGCAAGCTATGCCTGTGTCTACCAGGAGGACCATCAGTGAATGGCTTGGTACCAGGTGGGGTGAACAATTTGTCCCCAGTTGCCTAGAATTTTTTTCAGCAATGAAAGTTCTGCATCCCAGGAACGTCCTGTCTCAGGCAAGCTAGGATGTAGGTCACCCTATTCCCAGGAGAGGACGGTCACCTGGCCAAGCTGTCCATCACAGCCTGTTCCCCTGGCCCTGAGAAGAGAAGAGAGCAAAAACATAGCTGAGACCAGGAATCTGCCCCTGCTATTTCTAGGAATGGTTTCTCCATAGCTGTCAATTTTATAGACTTCCCAGGAGGATATTTCCCAGAGAAACTATCAATGTACTCTCTTCATTTGTTGATTACCTACATTGAGAACCTCTTCCCACTTGGGACAATGTTATGCAACCATTCACGAAAGCAGAATGAAAACTCTACAACACTATTTTATTACTTTTTGTTACTAAATAATGTGACTCCCACCCCATTGCTGAGCTTCAGGGCCCACAGCCCGGAGCCATCCCCACCCACCTTGAGGGTGGGATGGAGACCAAGTGGAGATGGGACGAGACCAAACCAGTGGCCGTTGAGTAGATTCTCCCTCATGGCCACCACGTGTATCAGAGTAGAACTGTGCTCCATAGGCTTTTAATGGCTGTGACCTTTCGGAACTAGATGGTCAAGGCCTTTCTTCTGAGGTGCCTCTGTGGGGGTTCCAGCTGCAACTTTAGTTGGTACTCAAGTACTTAACCATGTATACCACCCAGGGATCCAAGATGAAGCAAAGGGTGAAGATACCCCCACTGAACATCATTGAACATTACGTGGTATTGGTTTTATAATCTGAAGATTTAGTGTTTGCTGCTTTGAAAAAAAGGAGCTCTGGTGGCACAGTGGTTAAGGCATTTATTTAACTGCAAATTAAAAGGTTAACAGTTCAAACCCACCAGCTGCTCTGCAGGAGAATGATAAGGCAGTCTGCTTCCGTAAGGATTTACAGCCTTGGAAACCCTATGGGGTAGATCTACTCTGTCCTATAGGGTTATTATGAGTTGGAATTAACTTGATGGCAGTGGGTTTGGCAGTGGGCTCTGAATAAGTCATGATGTCTCAGGATAAAAACTACAAGTCAAATGGCATCACTCATTCATCTGTCTGATTGTACAGCCTCAGTTCTTCCAAGTGGCTGTAGAGGACCCCTCCCTGGTAAAGTTCAGGTAGATGCTTCCAATTAGTGTCAATATGTCGGAGTCTGCCCAGGTGTGCCTTCATCCTGCTGCTGACACAGAGGAAAAGGTGATTCAGCAATGCTACCTGGTTTGTGCTCAATCTTCAGAAATGCTGATCTGCCTGTGATGGCACTTCATTTGCTAGAATACTGGGGACTGGAGGAGTCCTGCACAGACACAGATTCATCCACTGACCCAACTTGTTTCCCTTGAGGAGGTGATGCATGGACATCTCCAGTAACACTAATGCCTGGGTTTTCTCTTTCAGCTGCTCAAGTTGCCCCAGAATCAGCAGAAATGGCTCCGACAGCTGGTAAGCCTTTCCCTTTTTCTCTTGGCAGCTTCCTGGTTATTGAATCTTGCTGGCAGACTCCTTGAGGTTACAGCCAGTAATGCCAGTGCTCACCTAGACCTCCCCAGGACTGAGAAAACGCAGGCTCTGACTCCCCAACCGCTCATCAAGCAGAGCTGGCTGCCCATCTAGCCTCTGGTTCTGGAAGTATGAGTTTAACTTTGGACCCAGGCCAGAAGACAAGTTTGTCCTAAAGGAAATAATTCATCAAAAGTTGACTTAGACACATTCCAATGCTGTTGTCTATCAAAGTTGATGACTTGGCTCCTAAGTAGATATGCGTCCTTACCCTTGTAGTTCCCATATTTCAAATCCAAAGATGGGAATAATGGGACGCCATGTTTGAAGTCAGAAATAGCCTGGAAAAGCCATTCACTGCATATATTAGCACTAATTTGACTTATTCTCATGGGTCCTAGAAGCAGAAGGCAAGAGTTTCTAGGGTACTGGAATTCAGAGTTTATTATACTAGGAACTAAAGAAAAATCTCATTCAAAATTGCTTCCAGAAGAGCTGATCACAATCCAGTAATCTCTGGGTCTTCCCCAGACTTGCCTGTCATCAGATTGGTGGATGGGAGGAGCCGGTGCGAAGGGCGTGTTGAAGTATACCACTGTGGCGTGTGGGGGACGGTGTGTGATGACCTCTGGTCCATCGGTGCTGCCCACGTTGTGTGCCAGCAGCTGGACTGTGGTGCGGGCATCAGTGCCCTGGGGAACGGCCACTTCGGGGGGTTGTGGGGAGCACCCTGGTGGGCAATGTGCAGCGCCAGGGCAACGAGAGCTGGGCCAGTGCCAGCACCTTGGCTTTTCTGTCCACAACTGTGGCCACCATGACGATGCGGGGGTCATTTGCGCAGGTACTCGTTCTCGGCTTTCTCCTGAGGCTGCCAGAGCCATGACTCTTAGAGGGGAACATGGAGATGAATGTGAGGAACTGTGGGTCCCACTGTTGTTTTTAGTTGCTGTTGAGTTGGCCCCAACTCATGGTGAGCCCATGCACCACAGAACAAAACAAAATGCCGCCCAGTCCTGATACCCATGATTGGCGGCAGATGGGACAGTTATGACCCACAGGCCTGCACTGGCTGATTTGTGGAACTCCATCTTCAGGCCTTTCTTCCAGGGTGCCTCTGGCCCATTCTTAGACATTCAGAGACTTATTGGTACAGCAGGTATATAAACCCTGGTCAGCCCTGCACTGTGCCTGTCCTTGGTTCCAGGAACACACTGTGAAAAAGCAGGCCAGGGTGCCAGCCCTGAACTCAGGCCAGCAGGGGCCCTGTTGGTCAGTCAGACTCAGCCTCCCTTAGTCTGCTGGTCTACCCACCACTTGCATCATCACTCATGAGTCCACTTTAGAGCCCTCAGTCCCTGCCACCTTCAAAGCCTCCCAGAGGTCCCACGTTAACCACCCTCTGGGGTAACTGCACTTCCTAGACTTTGTTCTAAAATTCCTTTTTGAACTTCAAAACTGACTTTACAGGGCTGTTCTTAGGGATTCTAGGAACAGAACCCAGGCCCTCTCATCTAATCCTTTGAGAACGTCAACACGATTTCTATTGGCCTCTGTGGTTTCAGAAACTTCCCTTTTTCACTTCTTCCTTTTATTCAGCCCAGTTACCATGTTATCCAGGTTCTTTTCTTCTTTCTCCTGCCAGGAAATAGCCTAGAAATCAGGTGAATTGGGAGTGTCTGAGCCCAGCTTATCAGTTTCACGGAGCAAAGACTAGAATAGTGGGGCTCCATTTATTCACCCAGTCACATTCATCCATCACTCACCAGGCATTTACTGAGCACTTCATATGTGCCAAGGCACTCTGGTGGTGCCAGAGTGAAGGCAATTTGGTGTTAAAGCATTTGGATGCTAACCAAAACTGAGTGGTTCAAACCCACCAGCCATGCTATGGAAGAAAGATGAGGCAGTCTACTTCCATTAACGTTTACAGCTTTGGAAACCCAATGGGGGTTGCCATGAGTTAGAATCAACTTGGTGGCAGTGAGTTTGTACATGCCAAACAATTCTAGGTGCTCAGGATGCAGTTGTGAACAAAATGGGAAAAAAAAAAAAACCCTGCCCTCGTGGTGCTTATATTCCAATGAGAGAGTTCAGAATCATTCTTGCTTTTCAACTGTGACAGATCATTAACAAAGGTAAATGAATGTTAACAGAACAAGTAGAATGCAATTAGGAGAATGCTGACACATTGTGAAAAATGTAACTAATGTCACTCAACAACTTGTGTGGAAATTGTCAGGTTTGCTGGAGAAAATTTTACCAAAAACACTACAAAATATATATACTTTTAAGTAAATCAATATTGAATCAAGGGTCAAAACATGCAAAACATGCTTTATTATGTTAAGTAACCACTTTCTAGAACATTAGAGTTCAGGCAACTTGGTGTTGTGTTATCAATGTAGTTTGGTAGAAAGGAAATCAGCCTTAGAAATCTAAACTCTTCTGGATTGGGAAAGCTTCTATGAGTCAGAACTGACTTGATGGAAGTGGATTTTTAGTATTTGCCACTTTGGGGATGATTTCCCCTTTGCAATACCACTGAAGTAGCCTTTCTAATCACGGCTGGCAAGAGTCTACCATCTCAACACAGGCAGCCTTCCTCAAGCCCCACCTTCTGCATCCCTGTCTCTATTTCAGTCTCTCCCCAGGAAATCCTTCTTATTTTTAATTTTACATTTCACAAGTCATTTTGTATCTGATTTTACTGTATTTGGGGCATTAAAAATAATAATAATATGGCCATCGAGTTGATTCGGCGCATTAGTGACCCCTCCTTGGGTTTCCAAGGCAGTATCTCTACAGAAGTAGATTGCCCAATCTTCCTTTTGAGGAGTGGCTGGTGGGTTTGAACTGCCAGCCTTGTGGTTAGCAGTCAAATGCCTTAGGCACTACGCCACCAGAGCTCCCATAAGAACTATATTCTACATGTGTTTGTGGGGGGTTTTTGTTTGGATTTTATCTTACTTTCTTTTGTTTTTGTTTCACAATTTCAGCATCAGCCACAGAAATGACCGCTTCACCTGGTAATTTTGTTTTCTTTCTTGCTTTCTATAGGTCAGTTATGTTATCAATTGCCTTGCACACAGTTAGGGTTTGCGTTTATACATCCCATGAAGCTAAATATCAAGCTTGTATCAAACTAGTACAAGGTGTTCACAAATTGGTTGAATGAGATGGTAAATTTAACAGATATTGACCACATGCCCTCCACATATAAGACACCACGTTTGTTCCCTTCCTCCTTGGCTTCTGAATCAGTTTACAATGACATGAGCTTCACTCACATTGTCACTAGTGTCCACATATTTGGATATTCCATGAGTTTTTTATTTTTTTAACAGTCACGGGACTTCAGACATCTCAGGCAAATGATAAAATTCCCATAAAGTGATAAAGTACCACATCCCTTAAGTGTGTTTCTCAGTGCAGCACTCTAATCTAGTGATAAGCTAACTAAAAAGGAAAGGATAGCATGGCTGAACAAAGTGGAGGAATGCCATCTTCCTGTCTTGAAGACCCACAGCCTATAAGCATCATAAAGGCTCTGAGCAGTCCTAGAGTGAGGAGCCATTTCTCAGAGCCCTTTGACCTCTGAAACCTTTGGAGTATAAAAGCAGCAACACAGGATTGGAATCAGAGACCCTGGCATCCAGTTTCAGCTACAGCCTTAGCCATTTGGGTGACAACAGGCAAGTCCCTTCACCTCTTGAAGCCTCTGTTTCTTCATCAGTAGCAACCCAAAACTGAAACCAAACCCACCACCATAGAGTTAATTCCAACGCCTAGCAACCCTATAGGACAGAGTACAACTGCCCCCACAGGGTTTCCAAAGCTGTAAATTTTCATGGAGGCAAACTGCCTCATCTTTCTCCCTCACAGCGGCTGATGGGTTCAAATTGCCAACCTCTCTGTTACCAGCCAAGTGCTTAAGCATTGTGCCACCACAGCCCCCCATCAGTAGCACAGGATGAAAACACTGTGAGCACACAGTGATGGGGCTTCATAGTCACATTTCTGAGTTCCCTGCTCATTGCATTACCTGCCAAGACTGCACCTGGTCTCTAACGTGGGCAATGCATATGTCCTTTGTAAACTTCCTTCTTGTGGACATGTTGGGGCTCATCCTAGTGGAGGCTTGAGTTGGATAAATAAGTGGGACAAACATCATCTCAACTGAAGTCAACTCAAGTTTTCTCTGAACTGCAAACAGTTTGGAAGGTAGTCAGTGGCTCAAGTTTCCCAAAGCTCAGAATTTCAGAGCCCTCTTCCTTAGACACTGAGCTCCAAGGAAAATCAGATGATGAAATAGATTTCTCTCTTTGTGGTGGGATCTCTGAGAATTGGCTGCCATGCCTTTTAGGCAAGGACAAGTGAGATATGGCACTTGGTAACCTTGTCACAGTGCAACATTTTTCCAAGAGGTAGAAGAAACCTTGGAGGTTTCTCAGACCAGAAGTCACAAACAGGCAGCATGGGCCAATTTTGCTCTCCTGATGGCCTTTGATTCTGGCAACATGATTTTCCCTATGCAATTAACATTGCATGTTTTCAATCTCACATTTTAGAAAATAGGAGAGTCCCAAAAAAAGTCCAGATTTCCAGCACTGATTGAAAGAGCAGAGGATGGAGCCCAGTAGTGTGAATTCGGCAGAGCACCGAGGGGCAGGCTGGGCAGAAACGTGCTGCCCCTGTATAGGGGCGCGTGCTTTCTGGTGTCTTCCCGCCCATGCCACTCATTTCTGGGCCCATAGGAACCTCCATCTGGGAGGCTCAGTGCTTCTCAAACTTTAATGTGCACACAAATCACCTGGAGATTTGTTAAAGTGTAGTTTCTGCGTCAGTGGGCTTTCAGTGGGTTCTGAGTGTCTGCATCTCTAGCAAGGTGATCCAGAAGATGTTGGTCCATGGACGAGCCCTTCAGCATAGCTGCTGAAGCTCCGAGAGCAAAGGACTCGTCCAGAGTCACATGCCCGGTTACAGAAAAAGAGACTAGGACTGAGGGCTCCTGAGTCCACTCCCATGCATCCCTCCCCATTATTTCTGTCCCTTAAATTAATGAAACCAGATGGGAGAGTCAAATAGGGTCAGAGCACAGCACATGGAGATATAACTGGGACATAATGTGTGAATGGGGTGAATTCTGAAAAATTCTTTAACAATGAACTCTTGACAAGGATGGTATTTAATCATAATTTTCTTTAACTTTTACTTGTTTTAACAGTTCCCACCTCTGCTTCAGCCACAGATTTGGTCCTTACAACTGGTAACAAGTTTTCTACTGATGTGTCTGTCCTCTTACTACTTGTCTATAGGATATCGCTGTGTTGAAATTCTACTGAGAGAGGACACCCCTACTTATCCAGGGGTCACTTGTTGGCTGAAGTAAATAGACTAGAACCCAGAAATAGACACAGGGCCTCTGTGCAGCCAAACTGCGGTTCCAGTGTTGAAGGTCAAGTGCTTGCACACACATGGGAGTATTCCCAGAGCCTATTTGCTGAAAGCCTGTTGTTCGTTCCTTATACACATATTGGCTATCTGGTCCGCCTAAGCCAAAACCAAACCTGTTGCTGTCAAGTCAATTCTGGTTCATAGTAACACTGCATGACAGAGTCGAGCCATCCCATATGGTTTCCAAAGCTGGAAGTCTTTCCAGAAGCCGACTGCCGTATCTTCCTCCCACAGAGCAGCTGGTGGATTCAAACCACTGAACTTTTAGTTAGCAGCCAAGGATTTTAACCACTCCCTACTGACTGTGTATTAGAAGAGATAAATTGGGGAGGGGGTACAAGGTCTGGAAGGGGGAGCTCTGAGAGAGGCGCTGGATCTTAAGACAGGAAATGTAGCAGATAGCCTAACAGCC